GTCTTGTAAAATTACTTTCCAGAGCTTTTATCTCTCTTCCTGCACTTTTACTATTCTCTATGAGATGATTAAGAGAATTATTTTCTTTAAGGAGTGCTTGCAAAGCTTCTTCTTTTGACTGAAGAACACTCTCCAATTCTTGCTGCCTGTTAAAAAATAATGTATTTTCTTCCTTTATTCTGCAGAGCTCTTCACTGCATTGTGTATCAACAGATGTTTGCCTCAAGTACAGTTCATCCTTTGTTTCCTCTACCACAGAATATCTGATATTCAGCTCTTGAATCTGAGTCACTTTGTCTTTCAATTCGTCTTGTAAAGACATTATTCTTTTATTGCTGTCTTCTATCTGCTTCTCTTTATTTTGGATGGCCTCTTTGAACTGCGCTTCCCAGGTTTTCATTTCGGTGATTACCCTGTCTCGGTCACCCTGAAGAGAGGACACGCACTTTGTAAAAGCAGCTAATCGCGCCAAAGCTGCATTCAAATCCACTTGAAGTTTCTTGTTTTGAGAGTCCTTAATGCTAACTTCTTCTCGCAAACCACGCATCTCACTAACCGCCCTATCTTTTTCTCTCTGAAGGGCACCGTGTCTTTCCTCTAGGTTCAAAAATTCTCTTTTGTGAACTGATTTTAATTGTTGAAGATTAAATTCTAATTCTCTCTCATATTCTTTCTTTTGCATTTGTAGTTTGTCTTCTTTCATCTTAAGTTCTTTTCTCCAATTTAGATTCTCATACGTAAGCCTGTCCACTTCATTCTTTGACTGATCCAACAGGTTCATCTGTGAAGCAAGCTCTCCCTTGAGGTGACGTATTTCTTCATCCGACTTCGCAAGCTTTTCTGATGTATTACTTAAGTCCTTTTCAAATTTTTCACTTTTTGATTGTGACAGTTTTACAGATCTTTCCAAATCCAGGATCAGCTCCTGGAACTTTATAGAATCTTTTTGCAAATGCTTGATCTCCTGCTGTTTCTCCTTTAAGAGTTCTTGGAGTTCTTTTGTTTTGTTCTTACTTCCGCTGTTCTCCCTCTCAGCACTTCTCACCTTCTCTTCAAACATTTTTGCAAGGTGTAATTGCTGCTGTTCTTTTTCTTTAATGACATTACATTTTTCTGTCTTTAATTCTTCCAGTTGCTGTAACAGCAAGTTATTCTGTACCTGTGCTGATTTCATTTTGTCAGTAAGATGATCCACTTTTTTAACATGATTAAGCAATTCTGTCTCCAGAAATTCTCTCTCGTTCTTTACTTTGTAAGAACTTTCTTGTACGTTTTCTAATTCTTCCTGTAACAGACATTTATCATCCTCTAAAATTTTAACTTTTTCATTTAGACTAACAATTTTCTGTGTAAGACTCTTACATTCCATGTCCAGCTTTGTTAGATAATGATTTTTATGGTCCAAAGATTTTTCAGTTTCTTTCGCTTTTTCTGAAATTAATTTTCTTTCTTGTTCTAGGACAAGCACATCTTTTTCTTTTTCAGAGAGTTTATCCTTTAACACATTCAAGTCCTTCAACAATGATTCATTCTCATATGATGCTTCACTGATTTTAGATCGCATATCATCTTGGTACACTTCCATTTGAGCTTGGAGCTCTCCAAAAGCTGCTTTCGTTACAGTGATGTTATTATGAAGGATGTCATTTTCATTCTGAATTTTCTCTGAAGCCTGCTTTAAACTTTCACAAGTTTGTTTCAGCTGCTCATTTTCCTCCATTAGCTGATGATTCTGGTCAGTGAGCTCATGAAGACGATCCTGGTGTTCCTGCATCCTTGCCTCTTGCTCATGGATCTGCCTCTCTGCTTTACTTTCTAACTCGTCAACTTCCATCTTCTTGGATTCGCCAAGTTGTTTCAGTTGGGTCTTAATAATCTCATTTTCATCAATGAGTTTTTGCACACGTTTCTCAAGAGCCTCCTTCTCAGACTGTCCTTCCCTGAGTCTTTGAATGGCCTCTTGCTTCTCTTTTCTAGTGAGATCAATAACTTGCCTCATATCTGCTATTTTACTACTAATACTCTCATAAGCCCGAAGAAGTGATTCATACTCCTGCTTTAATTCACTATGTTTAGCCTTCCACCCTGTTAATTCAACTGTCTGAGAATCTTTTAAAGTATTTAGTTGGAAAGAAAAGGCCTCTTTTTCCTGAACTATAGTCTCCATGGTGGATTTAAGACTTTCACATGCTGCGGTGAGGTTTTCATTTTCAGTCAACAGCCTAGCATTTTCCGAAACAAGGCTCTCCTCTTCAGACAATGGAGAAACAGTACTTGAACTCTCTTTTTCTCTACCAAGCTCTAACAAGTGTTCAAGCATACCTGTCTTGTTCACCAGTTCTTCTCTTTCCAACATCAGCTTATCAATCTGTTCTTTTAGACATTTGTTTTCTCTCAGGGCTTCCTTACGTGATATTAAAGCTGCCTGCAATTTTCTTTGAAGGCGCTCTTTGGACTTCTCTTCTGCTATAGTTCTTTGCTCTTGTGGTTTAGCATCATTTACATTTGCACTTTTTGCCAGCGGCTCTTCAATTATGTGCATTTGTTTCTGGATTTGACATTCTGTTGCTTCTCTCAGTTTAGTTTTCCTGGAGTAATCCGTATCTGATAGTTGAGAACAGGTGCCTTTACCTTGCAACTGTCCTTGAAGGGAATTAATTTCCAAACAAAACTCTCCCAATTCTTTTTTGGTATCATTTTCTTCCTTAAGCTCTTTGAATGACCCCACCGGTCTACTCATCTCGGCCTTCTCACGTAGCACACACAGCTCTGTCCAAAGTTTTTTGTTTTCTTCACTGACATGTTTTACCTCCTTTTTCATATTAATTACTTCCAACTTGGACTCTTCTAAACAACTGCCAAGTTTCTCTTTATCACTCTTCATTTCTTCAAATGCTGCTTTGTAACGGTGGGCTTCTTCTTGGCCCTCCTTTATAGCTTCTTTTAATAATTCTTTTTCCAGATCAAGTTTATCTTTGAAATCCATAAGTGAACAATGCAATGCCTCTATTTCCTCACTCTTTTCTGCAACATCCTTCTTAGCTTCAGCTCTCAATCTCTGCAGTTTCTCCCGGCTCATCTTGTAATCCTCTTCACTTTTTTTAATAAGTGCTACTTTCTCACTATTCACATGTTCAAGCACTGCCTTCATGTCTATAGCTTCAGCATTGTATGCTTTCAGCTTTTTCTGTAGCTGCTTTATGTCCGCCAACAAGCTGCCCTTACACTGCTCCTGCTGTCCCAAAGAGTTTAAGCTGACCGTTTCTTCTCTTTCATCACCAAATTCAACTGATATTTTTCTCAACTCTTTCTTTAACATTTCTGTTTCCTCCTGAAGTTTTGCATAATTACTTCTTAGTTCTTTTAACTCAATGTCTTTACTTGCCATTGAAGTGATCATGTCTTCTGGCTCTTTTAAGGATGCAACCTGAATCTTGCTTCTTGGTTTGTCCGATTCCAAATTCCTTAGGTCAACTACTTCTTCTCCCAGCACTGCCTTAGGTGAAGCCAGCTCTTTCCTTAGAGGGCACTCTTCGAACCAATTAGGGTCAACTTCTTCACATCTTATTTGAAGAACTTCCCAGAGTGCTTTATGTTCTTGTTTGAGTTGCTCAAGGTGATTTTTTTGTTCATCAAAATCTGCTGCAAGCTTAGTGTGCTCTTCCCTTTCTTTCTCAAAAATTGTCATATCTTCTTTTGTGACCAAAAGCTTCCTTTGTAAGGCTTCTTTTTCTTTTTTTAATTGATTCGTGACATTAACATCATTGTTGGGGTCCAGACACTTCTTCCTGTCCCCAGCACTTAAACCAGGCTCTTCTGAAATGGAATTTTTCAACAATTCTTCCTTCTGCTTAACTTCACACTTCACCTTCTCAAAAGCTGAGAGCAGCTGAGAACGTTCCTCTTCATAGGCACTTGCTTTTTCATCAAGCATAGACTGCATATGAGCAAGCATGCAGTCCTTTTCCTCTAAAGATTTTAGATTCTGCTCACATATATTTTGTTTTTCAGCAACGACCTCATTTAGTTTTGCAATATTGTCCTGAAGTTCCTCTAAATAAGAGGCTTTGGAAGACAAAATTTCAGTCAAATCGCTTATTTTGGCATCTTTTTCTAAAAGTTGTTGCTTCAAAGTTCCAAGATGAGACTCAAAATCTTTATTTTGTACTTCAGCTAGTCTCAGCTTGTCTGTTAACTCATTCACTTTCTTCAATAACTCCTCTGCTTTTTTTTGCTCTTTTTCTATTTCTTCCTGCCCACTCTTCTCTAGTTTTCCAACTTTTTGCATTAGATCTCTTCTTATTATCAATGCTGCCTGAAGTTTCTTTTTCAGATTCTCTTTCTCCTTGCCCATTTTCTCAAGATTAAACTGCATCTCCTCTTTTTCATTCATTAAATCTTTAAATGCAGCTTCTCTACTGCTTAACATAACCTGACTATGTTCCAGTTCTTTCTTACAACCCTCAAGTTCCTGCAATACTCGGTTTAGCTCTCCTACAGAACTGTTATGAACAGCTTCAAGGTCTTGCAGTTTAGTATTTAATGAATTTCTCTCTTCAGAAAAATTCAGCCTTTCATTAGACAACGATTCCATGGTTTGGGTAACAGAACAGTCCTTTTCTTTCAGTTGCTGGTGTAGACCAGAAATTAAATCCTTCTGCTGATTTATCTGGGAAGTTAAGTTTTCAATAAGTTGATCTTTTTTTCCCATTTCTTCAAGGAGGTTCGCTACTTTTTTACCTTCAACGTGAAGCTTTTCTTGACTGGTTCTTGCTACTTCTTCTGATTTATTTATCTTCTCCTGAAGAATTTCAACCTGCTTATTTACTTCTGCAAAAGACCCTTCCCTTTCTTGCAAGAGAGACTGTTGTTTACATAATGCTTCCTTGACTGTGACCATTTCTTTCGACATACATTCAATTTCACACTTGTATTTGCCCTTCATCTTTTCAATATCATTCTGTAGCAACTCCTTCTGCTTCTCAACTGACTGCATACTTTTTAATTCCTCTTTCATGGTGTCTATTTCTTTCTGTTTTTCTAAAAGCATCAGTTGCAACTGTTCTCCTTCTGTTTCTTTGCTCAAAATAGCAGTTATTAGAGCAGAGAGTTTTTCCAACTGAACTTTACTATCAGTTAGCTGCAGTTCAGAATCTGAAGCCTGTGCCTTTTCTTTACACAAAAGCCTACTACTAAGTAATGGAGATAAGCTTTGAGTTAATTCCTCTTTTATAAGATCCAGCTCTTGCTGCAAAGACTGGATTTTGCTATCCTTCGATTTCATTTCACTTTCTAAACCGCACAAATGCTCAGTAAGATTACTATTTTGTAAAGTTGCCCTATCAAGTTCTGTCACCCATTTGTTTTCTGACTCAAGTAGACTCTGTTCTAGAGTTTCAAATTTAAGTTCTAAATTAGAAAGTTCTTCACCCTTCACACTAACCTGCATCTGTAACTTCTCATTTTCAGTCTTCATCTGCAGTTTGACAGCATCTATCTGCATTCTTGAATAATTCTCACTGGTTTCTAGTTTTTCATTGATTTCTCGGAGCTCTTCCAATTTCTTTTGCAAATGAGCTTGAGATGTAGTAAGCTGCGCGTTTTCAGCCATCAGTTTATCAGCATCTTCTTGCAACCGTTTTTTTTCTTTCTCTAAAGACTCCACCTGGCACTGCAGACTACCTACTAAAAGCGTATTGTCATGGCAGTCTTGAGATGATTTGAAATTTACACTGTTCAATTCTAACTTCAAACATGCTATGTTATCTGCCTGTTCAGCGCACTTCACACGCAGAGACTCCGCAGCCTGTTCTTTTTGCTGTAGTTCTTCTTGCCATGTACTTATTTGGTCTAGTGATTTTTGGTGTTCATTTTTAAGAGACTCGAGTTCAATTGTCAAAGAATCAATTTTCTTCTGATTAATATCAAGCTTCTCGTTCTTTTCCTGAAATTCCTTAGTAAGGTTTTTCATGGCTGTACCACTTTTTTCTAATGTTTCTCTGAGAGCCTCAATCTCACTAGAAAGAACATTAACGTTGCTATCTGCCAACTGTATACTGGTATCTTTCTCCTTTAAAGAATTAAGCAGTCCAGCAATAACTTCTTCTGTTTTCCCAAGAGCTGCATTCAACTCCGTTCTTGGTTCATACTGTGCTTCAATTTTCTCCTGAAGAGATGAAAAGGCATTCTCCCTCTCATGGACTAGTTCTTTAGATTTCTGTAGTTCTTGCGTTAGTTCGTGGACCTGACTTTCGAGCTGAGAAATGAGATTTGTCTTCTCTTCATCTTTCCTTGCTTTCTCCTTCAGAGTTTTGAGGAGACTTTTATTTTCCATAAGAGATGACTCCTTTTCTGATAAAGACTGGTCCATCTCAATTATTACATTCTTCTGCTGTTGTGTTTCTTTTTGTAAATTCACTTTCATTTCCTCCAGCTCTACCACCTGTTTCTCTAAGACCTCACATTCATTCTCCTTCTCTTGAAGTTGTGTCTTTAAACGGTCACTAGATAATGAAATATTGTTGATGGTTAATTCTTTTTCTGAAACAAGTACTTTTAATTGGTCTGCTTCAGAGGCTAAAAGCTCCAACTGTCTTTGCTGCAAAACGGAAGACTCCTGTACCTCAGACAGCTGTGCTTTTAAACTGATGTATTCATCTAACTTCTGTTTTAAAGATTCGTCCTTCTGTATAATTGAATCAGTCAACTGAGATGATCTTTCTGTCACATTTCTAAGCTGACATTGAAGGTCAGAAATAACCTCCATATTCTCAGACAGTTGAACCCTAAGTACATCAGACTCTTCAGATTTACCTTTTAAGAACTTTAATTCATGGCCTTGCCTCTTCAATTCATTTTCTTTTTCCTGCATTGCATGTCTAAGCTGGCTGGTTTCAAAGCCTAGGGCTTGTATTTGGTTTTGCAGATCTGAAATAATTTGCATGTATTGCCCTTCTCCCGCCATTTTACTTTCTCTCATTTGCTGAATCAAAGACTCCTTTTCAGAAAGGAGACTTTCTTTTTCTTCAAAGACAATTTTTAAGTTTTCTTTTTCAATCAAGAGGCCATCTATTTGGTCCTTCAGAGCTAAAATATTATGACTCTGTTGGGACAAGTGTGAAGTTAAAGCAGCTACTTCGTCTGACTTTTTCGTGACCATAGCATTAACTGTTTCAATGTCTGCTTTCAATTTGTCATTTTCTAGAGCTGCTGTATGTGCTGCTTGTCTTGCTGAAGTAATTTCAGCCTGTTGCTGTACCAACTGTGACTGAAGAAATTCACATTCACGTGACTTCTCGCTCAATAAGCTTGAAAAGTCCTCCTTTTCACACTTCAGCACATCCACTTCTTTGCTTAATAGCTCTAGCTGATTATTTAACACTCTACTTTCTTCCATTTTTTCAGAAACTTGCCTATGAAACTTCTCAAGTTCTGAACCCTGACTTTTTACAGTTAGGTCTCTTTCCTCTACCAGCTGAGATAACTTTGTTTTTTCATCTTGAAGATTTTTAATTTCATCCTGCAACCCTACAATACAAAACTTAGTCTCCTCCATTGCCTTATGTAATGAATCATATTGAAGGATCTTCTCTTCTAGAGACCTGTTCACAGCTTCAAAATCCGAAGTTATGCTTTGAACTTGTTCCTGCAGCAGTAAATTCTTTTCCTTACTATGGCTGAGCTCTTGGATTAGGCTACTGCATTCAGACAACTTCTCATTTAACATTTCTTCTTTCTTTGTTTCTTTGTCTCTAGCATCCTCCAGCAGAATGAGAAGTGATTGCATTTGTTCATGCAACTGTTGTGTCTGTTCCTTGCTTTCAAACAACTGTCCAGCCAGCACACTACATTCCTTTGTCTTCTCCTGCAGCTGTGCTGCAGCTGAGAGTGTTCAGCAGTAGAGAAGAGGGATACCGGCAAGGGCAGAGGAGAATGGTGGCAGTCGGCAGTTGTCAGGGAAGAGGAAGAGAGAAGGCCTAGACAGGAATTGTCCCGGTTGGGTAAAGACCAATGTGCGCTGTGTAAGAGATTTGGTCATTTGAAAAGGGAATGTCCGAAAAATAAGGAAAAGGGACAAGGCCGCTAGATAGAAAAAATAGCCCATGCAAAGGAAGATTGACAGGGACCTGGGGAATCTACACTAGCGCATCCACTGGTTATAATGAAGCTAGGGAAGGAACAACAATAACATTTTTGGTTGACATGGGGGCAACATACTTGGTTTTGAATCAAGCTTTGATGCCCCTGGGGTGTGATTATAGCATGGTAAAAGGGGCAACTGGTCAAAGTGAAAAGGCATACTTTTGTAAACCTTTGAAGTATAAATGAGGAAAAGAATGGGGCATCCACAAATTCTTGTATATGCCCAACTCCCCAAAGGCACTTCTGGGAAGGGATTTGTTGGAACAATTGGGTGCAAAAATTACATC